TCAATAAGTAGAGGCTCAATCACCACAAGAATCTTGTGTACATATGGACGGACCAACTCATCTAGCTTGTAAAGCACCCTATCAATGACTTTGACCAGTAAGTGTCTTTCTTGATCCTCCAAGGTTGGTTGCATGAGCAGTGGCAGAATGCGGTTGAAGAGCGGGCCTGCACCAAAATCCCTGGCCTTATCAGTCAGTTGCCTCAAAGCCGTTTTCCTCTGAGGGGGTGTCCCATTCTTGACCTTCAGCAGTAGTTTCATAATCTTACGTTCCTTCTGCTCATCAGGAGATAGCTCCTCCTCGTCGTCTTCATTCAACAATGCACCAAAGTATTGGTAATCCTCAGGTTTCATAAGTGGCAACCCACCAGGCATTTCTTTTGGCACGTCAAACTGTTGGCCCCTATTTTCCTCAGGAATGTTGTAAAGGGGAGTCCCGATCGGGGTCGGGGTGGCAAGAAGCTTTCTGGCTGGGGTTCTAATTGGAACATAGGAAGCTGGGGGTTCCAATATCTTATAGCCCTCTTGTGGAAACATTGAGTCGAGCTCCTCATCCGTTAAAGGGCGGTTTCTTTCTTCTATGTCCTTTTCCCACCTCATTAGATTATATTGTTCAGGTGTAAGAGGGCCACGCATATTAATTGCACCAGGGGTTGGAGTGGCCAGTTCACTACCCCCAAAAGGAGTTACACCTGGGGTATAAGCCCCGGATGGGGTAGCACCATCCATTGGCGTTGCACTACCCATTGTTGCCGGAGTTTCATCCCACCTTGATCTCTGTCTTTTGGGTGTAGGGGTAGCAAGACCCAACATTTTTGGAGTAGAATCCCATGTCATTCCGGCAGGGGTGGCACCGGGAGTGGCACCACCGGCTGAAGGGGTGGCATCTGAATCAACCAGACGGCCAGGTGTAGGGGTTTCATCCCACCTATTCCGCCTCACCGAGGGTGTGGCATCACCAACCCTCCCAGGGGTAGGGGTTGCATCCCATCTGCCTATCCCAGGGGTCGAGTCAGGCTGATCCCAGTCAGAACCTGACTTGGCCTTCTTCTCTTTCACACTGTTTTCATCCTGAGACTGATCCCACCTATTCCTCCTCTTCTGAGCTGATGGCTTTTCTGCATCATTTTCCTTCTCAGCAGCTGCCTTTGCTTCTTCTTCCCTTTTATTCTTCGCAATTTTATTCATCAAATCTTCTTTCTTTCTTTTAAGAAACTCCTCGTTATAAACATCAGCATATGTCCTCACATTTGGGTCAGGTGTCTTGTCCGAAAAAGGGTCATTCCTTTCAGGAGATATAACACGGTTCAACCTTCGCCTCCTATAATCATCCTCCCTATCAATGATCTTGCTCGGTTTGTTAAACCCCAAATTCTGGTCCTCATCCCCGCCACCTCTCGGAGCCTCTTTCAGGAACTGTTTTGGTGCCGTGAAAGATGCCATCTTTCGGGCAATCTCGTTCTCAGTATTCTCAAGAGCATCTTCCTCATCATTAACTGGTATTGACTTCTCATAGCCCTCAAACCGGTCCCCGCTGTACAGATCAGTATCAAATGTCACAGCAGTAAGAGAAGCAAGCTGCTGCTCCATTTTCTTCCTCTCCTCCTGCGTCTTCTGTATCTCATCATCCATCTTGAATCCTCAGTCAACCTTCTTCTCAAGCGGACTACTTCAAGGAAATAACTTAACCCTACTTCTCCAAACCGGTTATGGGCAGAATATCTTGACAAATCACTTCAAGGAAATCTCAATACCAAGCATCTGGATTGGAAAAAAACAAAAAAGCATAAAAAATCGAAAATTCAATAAAATGAAACAAAATCAAATACTTCACTGAAACTAGAAAATAGGATATGTACAGAGTTTGGCATCCTCGAAAACATATAGGGGTAATTGAAGATCTGAGTATTAGTGTTACAGATTCGAAACCATATCTACAAAATCAGTAACTATAAGAACATCGACAAATTGCGTTTCTATGTTTGAGAATATTCCGTAAGGATGGAAATCGAATCAAAAAAACCGGAGATAGAGGATGGAAAACCAGATACCGAGCGGTGAATTGCCTGTCCAGTCGCGAAGAGTGGAAGCCGTAACCACCGTGAAGCAGGGTAAGAAATCTTATGGAGGTGAGCAAATGTTTCTGAGAACAGCGGAGGTCGGCGTTTCATGAGTCGGGGTCCAAACAGGGGTTCCTATTTTCTTGTATAATTGGGCCGGTTTTTATAATATACGTTGTATAAAAACTGGGTATGCAAATCGGCCCGTTCTTTGTTAGAATAAGAAAATTTGTTCTATTTAAAGGTTCGTTTGATCAAACTCGTTACAGAGAAATATTAGAGAAATATTTTAGATAGAATAATTCGACTTTATTCTTGAGAATCGAATCTTAGTACATTCTTGTTATTCCCGAAACACTTAAACAAACGTTAGCTCTTATTATGTTTATTAACATCAAAACATGAGGCTTAGCAAACAAGGACAACAGATCGTGTGTACTCGGCTTCGACCAGAGATGGTGTTGGATAGGGACCACGGCGTATGGGGAGCTGCATGACTGGTCAAGTTAGGGGATCCACAATTGGACCCCTGCCACGCCTCCGTCACATTAGTTCTAGCCACCCTATTTGTAACCTATTTTGTATAGCCACCCTAAGAATAATCATCCGGTTGGCGCCGTCGACGAACGGCCAGATCTTTGTGGGCCCGACCCGTTGGATTTTTGACCAACGATCGGGAAGGCCCGTTTGTAATCTGCATATAAGCCCCTCTTCCAAGAGGGGAAAAGATATGTCCTCTTGGACTAATTTTTACAATCTCGTTTGATTCCTGACTTGAGCATTCTCGACTCTCGTTCGATACTCTTTTGCATAGCCTCCTAGGTCCCGGGTTCCATAACTCAACATTGGTGCTTTCATTGAGAATGTCGGACACATCAAGCATGCTCCAAGAATGACTAGATCAAGAAGGGCCATCAGAGCATCCACCGTCAACGTCGGGGGCGACCTCATGATGACTGTGACGGCACCAACCAACACATGCCAAGATGACTTGGACATCAGTCTCAACGATGTCACTAGCCAGAACACCACCAATCACCGTCACCGCACTCCCAGGCGACAAGCCATGAACGGAGGGCGGTCTCAACAGCCCACTCAGCAGGTATCGGTCCTTGGCGCCGGTGTGTTGACCCTGCCTCTCGCAGGAATCGTGCGTGGCGGGGGTATAGTTACCTGGTGACTTCAACTCACCACTCTTCCAGTTTGGGGAGACTTCCGGTGTGAGGACTCAAATCTTACCCCCTTGGCACCCCTTGCAAATTGCACAACGCCAAGGCACTGCATGAATTTTTAGACCACGAAAACTTTTCGAACGTCGAAGAGACTGTGTGGCCGACCATCGAACCAATAGTTCACGCCTCACGGTTTTCACCAAAAAAACTTAGTGGTACTCAAAGGTAACTCTTCTTTTTTCCCGAATGTAACTCTATTTCACCTCTTTTTTTTAAATTTAAACTCCCTTCTAATTAAGAAATACATACCGCCAGAAATTGTTAAAATTAATCGTGGGAAGTTATTTGTACTTGTTTTTAAAGCCATAAACATATAAACCTTCCATTTGAAATTTTCGAATTTGTTATTTTTTTGATATTTAGCAGTTAAAATTGATAAACTTTAATAATGTATTAAGTAAAACTAATACTCCCTCCGTTCGAAAATAAACTTTACGTTCTTCCAAAAATACCCTTAACCTTTTCTAATTCTCAACCTCTCCACCCCCCATTTCTTATCCGTCCCTTCATCTCCTCATTTACTCCATGCCTTATCCGTCCCTTCCTCTCATCATTTACTTATTTGCCTCTTTTTTCTTCATCTCGTATTTACATCTCTCACAGACCTTTCCTAATCTTCTTCTTGATCTAGATGACTAGATCTGTATAGATCTACTCAGTTCCTCCTTCTCTTGAATGAAATTCCATTAAGGTCCCGTTTGGTACATGGAATTCAAACTATGGAATTGGAGACTTCAATTCCAATTCTGGTGTTTGGTAGCACAAAAATTATGTGAATTTGGAATTGATAATGCAAAAAATGAATTGAAATTGACAGAATTCAATGTTATGGAATTGAATCCCATATGGCATTTCAATTCCAACCCAATTCAAATTTCTTATACCAAACGGATCCTAATGGTATTCCAGTTATTTTACAGGGTTATTCAACTTCCTTTAAAATGATCAAAAGTCAAAACATAAACATTAATCCGAGACGGAGGGAGTACTTTTAGATATTGAAATTGATGGGCTATTGGCCCAATTGAGAATCCCAACCTGAAAGTACTATGATCCTCGCACCATCTGGCATACGGAAGGTTTGGTACGCCATATGAAGTCCCACCACAATTGGGTCGGGTTGCCTTTCAACGAATCCAGAGCAGCAGCGCCGCCGAAGACGTTGAAGGAGCGATTAGGGCGCGATGAGGTTGTGATTTCTACGGCTAAAGAGAATCATGCGTGATCTGGTTACCTTATTTATCACTTACCTTAGATGCAACGTGTAATCACTATAAATAGAGGGAGGCCCATTGGAACCCTCAAACCTAGCCAATCTAATATCACAAGTTTTATGTTCTCAAGCTCTATATTGTTCTTACCATTCTTATTAACTTGATCCCGCTCCAAAAATGGATCATTTGCCGAAATTCTTTTCCTTTATAAATAAAAATATTTTTATTAAATTTATCTTCTAATATATTTTATTAATATTGTTTCAACTACTATTTTAATTTAAAACAAAACAAACACTTTGGGACCATACCAGAAGGAGTATTCTTTATTGAGGAGTACAATCTACTGGTGTTTCAAGAAGTACACTCTATTTTTCTCATAGAAACAAATTTGGAATGGAGACGTATAATTTTTAAATATATAAATTTTATTTGTCAATTGAATTTAAACCTATTAAAAATTAATTTGAGTATAATTTATACCAAATATCATAAACCATAACAATAAATTTATTTTAAAAGGTTATGTAGAGAATGAATTCTTTATGAATAATTTATTTGGGGAATTTTTCCCTATCCATTACTCTCTGGGAGTAACTAATACTGGGACGCTGCAAGATTTATAAATCACAAAATTCTTTATTGCGGGAATTGAAGTGGAAAAAAAAGAGAGAAAAGAAATACATAATCCGTATTCTTTTTCTTTTTTTTCACATGGCTGCAACGGAAGTGGGATTGACAATGCTACAAACGTCCCTGATTTCGAGCGGGACGCCGGCGGAGGGACGGAGGTTGCCCATCTTGACCATGGCGGCGGCGAAGTCAGAGAGGAAGGCGCCGGTGGCGTCCCTGTACCGCCGCACGGCGGCGCCGGTCGTCGTCCCGTTCATCAACACCTGGTCCGAGAAGAGGAGGCCTTGTCCCCTGGCCACGTCCTGGAAATAGCGTTTGTCCATTACTGCTGGCGTGGGGTCCAGCCCGACCAGGCCCGTGCTCCCCCCGGCCGCCGGGCAGTTGCACTGCAGCGTCGACGCCCTTGCGGCGTTCGTGTTGCCGCTGGTGCAGAGGACGGCGCAATTGGCGAACCCCACCGTGTGTGCTCCGGCCAACGCCACCATCTCCGTCTGGCTGAAACCTTTGGCGGCGAACTTCCGGGTTTGTGTCGCCAGGTCGTCGAACGGCGCCGGAAGCTGGTTGTTTGCTCCGGTGAGGTTGAACCTTCTCGCGTCTCTTCTTGTTCCCAAGTTCACCGTGTAGCTCTCACCTCCCAGCTGTATTATTCAATTCAATCAAACTCTTACTTTTTTAATATGAAATTTTTATTTTTTGTTTCAAAAAATTACTCCCTTAATCATAATGTTACAATCTTTTTAGCACGGATGAAATATTATATTTTAATATACCCTGTACTTTTTTCATAATTTGTAGTCTAATATTGTGAATGGTTTTTTAATTAATAAAAGAAAGTCAAAGTAGGAAAAGTTTTGGAGGGAGTATTTCAATCGTCAATCAACAAGATTTTTAACAAGTAAAATTTGCACTAAATAGGACTAAAACATAATGACTTTCTCAATGTATGACTTAAACTTTTTATTCCCTAAATAGGACTTAATAATGACCTAGTGGGAGGAATAATGTCCAGTAATAATGGACATTTACTTGAATAATGACTACTTGATAATGACCAAAAGTCCTACATTGGGAAATAAAAACATATGGTCTTATATTGGAAAAGTTATTATGTTTTAGTCCTATTTAGGTAAATTTCTCACGAAGATATCTTAAGAACTCGACGACGATTGTAAACTTACTTTGACAACGGAGTCACGAGCAGCAATGGCAAGAATGTCAGCGCAAGACACGGGGGTGTTGGAGCATTTGGTTTTGGCGTTTCTCTTAGCTCTCTCGATCACTTCAAACCCCCTAACGGAGTTTGCATTGGCCGGCGCACTTTGCTCTCCGTTAGTGGCGTTCAAAAGGATCCCTCCATCGCAACCCTGCAGCCACCAACACATGCAAAATCACAAATGAAAAATACAAAAATAGGAGAGCAACTCGACCAAAAGCTCAAATTTGTTATTTTTGATTCGGGAAAGACTTCCAGTTTACGTACGTCGACGAAGCAGTCGTGGAAGAAGAGGCGGATGAGAGAAGCGCCCATGCGGGTCTCTTTCTTAATGGCGTCTTCGACGACTTCTTTCACGGCGGAGAAAACGCAGGCTTGGTCGGAAAGATGGGCGGAAAATCCGAGAGTCTCCAAAATGCCGGCTGACTCGAAGGTTTCAGACAGCCATGTGGGGATGACGACGTTGTTGAGCTGACCACCGTTCACGGCGGAGTATGTGTTCTGGTAAACGGAGTAGCCGGCGAGGGAAAGAGCGACGAAGCTCAGGGAGAGGGAAAGCCTTGCTGCAATAGTAGAAACGGCCATTATATTATTATTATTATTATTATTATTATTATTATTATTATTATTGCTATTTTTATTTAGATATTGAGAAAAAATGGCCGGCCGGGGAGAAGTGGTGGCGGCCTAAGGATGAAGGGCTTCCATGGGCCGTGGTTAAATAGATACATATAGGGTGTGTTTTGGTGGGGCAAATATTTCTATTTTCCATTCCCTTTGTTTTAAAATACATTTTTAATTTCCTATTTCATTTTTGGTTTTTAATCACAATAAACTTTCTATACTCTTTGGTTTTTAATCAAAATAAACTTTCTTTACATTTTTAATTTCCTATTTCACTTTTATTTATGATCTTTGATTGATTGAAATAATATAATCATATCAACTCTTGTTTTGTACTGTAAATTTTTTATACAGTGGTTGGAGTAAAAATTTACATTGGAGTTCATACAAAAATAGAAATAAAGTTTTTGGTCGGATAGAGTAAAATTTTGACTTTTCATACAATTTAAAAATGTTGTTGAAAATTTTAAAATTTATAGTTGAAAATTTGCATTCCCTCGACCAGAATCATTTGTTTGTTTTCATTTATAATGTTTTACTTAAGATACTTAAAAGATAATGTAAAATTAAAAACCAAAATTTGTATAAAAATAACTACAAAAGAAATGATAATTTAACTGTATTATTCTTCAAATGATCACTAAAAATGTGTAAAAGAATATATATTTCGTACACATTTTTTTTCTTTTGCTTTAGAAGTACTATGAAACCCACTTGGTGCAATCAAAGAAAAAATGTAACCCACTTGGTGCAATCAAAGGAAAAATGCAACCCACTTGGTGGCACACCAAAATAGACCACAAATCTTAGATTGAAGACTTTTCCAAAAGTGAGTACGTGGGATAACCTTACCCATAGAAAAAAAACCAACCATGCTACACTTGAACCAAAAAATGTACCTCTAAGTTACACTAAAAATATAAACTACGAAGTAATATTTTGATGGTTTACAATGACATAAAGAGATTGTGTGTTACCAAGAAATTGCACCAATATCTGATCTAGACGAAAATAAATTGAACTTATATATTAGAGTTGTTGGATTTTAATCCACTAGAAAATAACAATAACACTAAAGCCCCGTTTGGTATATGAAATTCAAACTATGGAATTGGAATTGAGGACTTCAATTCCAATTCTGGTGTTTGGTAGCACAAAAATTATGTGGATTTGGAATTGATAGTGCAAAATATGAATTGGAATTGGTGAATTCAATTCTATGGAATTGAATCCCATGGAATTTCAATTCCAATTCAATTCCAATTACATCAATTCCGTATACCAAACGGACCCTAATCGTATTCATATATTTTAACTCTCAATATTCAATTGAGCTTCAATTCATTCTTCACTTTAGTAAATGTGTATTTACAGATAGAATCGAGGGGATGATCGTGGGTTAATTAACTAAGGTCTTGTTTTAGGTTGAAGGAAATTTCAGAAATTTAATGTTGGAAGAAATTAAAAGGAGTTGGAAGAAAGCTCGAAAAATTAAAAAATGTTAAAAGAATTAAAATACTACTCCCTCCCGTTCCGGAGTATTCGTCCAGTTTTGACTTTTGGAACTGTTCATCTAAGCATTTTGACTCATGCCCCTCACGTACAGGCGTAGTCTTTTTCGAGCCTTGCACGTGAAATCTTAATTTTTTTAAACTGGGTGGCGCTGAGTTTCGAACCCGTGACCTCTTAGTCAACGAGACTCTGATACCAAGTCAAGGAACCAACTCAACCAGAAGCTCAAGCTTGTGATTGTGGCCCAGGAACAGTTATTTATGTTCTAACAGATCTCCAAATAAATATGTGAGATTATTCTAATTTTGGATAAATAAAATTTACCTTTCTCCCTATTTGAGGTGATATATTATAAATTTACATATATAATAATGTTATATATTTATCATATATAAATAGTTTTTTAAGTTGTTATTGAAAGAAACTGAAATTCGAAGAAATGAAAGAAGTTAATTTTTTCACTCAAAATAACATGACCCTAAAGGGCACAGTGGAGAAATGACTCAATTAAGAGTAATTGACAAATTCTCCCGCCCGCCGCCTCAATCCTCTCGAGTCAACTATCGATCAACCATCTATAGTACATACGAGTTCATATATAGAAGGACTTGTTCTTTAGGACTCGAAAAAAAAAGATGTTGGAAGAAATTAGAAGGAACTAGAAGAAACTGGAAGAACTAGAAAAAACTAAAAGAAACTGGAAGAAATTGGAAGAACTGAAAAATATTAAAAGAAATTGAAAAAACTAGAAAAAATTGAAAAATTTTAAAAAACTTTTTTTTAAAAAAATATGTGTGGTTTATATTATTCTCATTCTGATTCTTGTTGTTATAAATTATTATTATTATTATTGTTATTGTTGTTGTTGTTGTTGTTGTTGTTGTTGTTGTTGGTGGTGGTGGTAGTGGTGTGTTATCACGTTATCTTAATGATTGTCTTTAAGATAAAAAATATTACGAGTATTATTTTTCATATATAAAAAACTAGTTTAAAAAAATAATTAGAATATAAAATTAGCATAAATATTACACTTCTTGGGTCATTTTTTCTTTTTCAAAATGTAGTTTTCTCTTGGTTTTCATAATATTATTCTTCCAGACCCTTAAATGTAATTTACCTTATATAAATTTAGATTAAAAAATATTCTATATAACTATTTATCCATAATTTTTTAAATAGTTTCCTAATTTTTCATGTAGATTTATATACAAAAAAACGGTATTATTCATATTAAAAAGTTGAAGAAACTGGAATAATGAATGTGAATTATAAAAATAGTGAGATGAAAAAATGAAATAATTTATAAACTATAGTTATGAACATAAAAGTTGTAATTAAAAAAAAGTTATAATAATAATATTTTTAGAGTGATTTGTCAGAAAGTAGAAGAATTTGAAGAAAATTAATATAGTTGGAAGAAATTAGAAGAAACTGGAAAAAACTAGAAAAAACTGGAAGAAACTGGAAGGAACTGGTAGGAACTGGAAGAAACTAGAAAGAACTGGAAGGAACTGGAAGAAACTGGAAGTTAAAAGTTCAAGCTCTAAAGAACAGGCCCTTAGAGGATGTTTGAGACTGTTTGATTTTTAGAAAAAGTGATTAGTTTAACAATATAATTTAAAATATTTCAGAGTAGTTTTTTGGGTTTTTTTTTCGTCTCTAAAAAGATTTTAAAAAAAAATCACGCCGTTGGAAACATTACAAAGGGATTATATTTAAATTAGAATCTGAAATTTATTTGTAACAACACTGACAATCACCCTCTTACTATTATAGTGGCCGATGGGCCCTCCAACCCACTCATTCACGATTGACGATCGTATCTCACTATTGGATATGCTTTTCACCATACTCAATATACATTAAGAGTGATTACGCGTAACACGTGAGATATGTTTCTTGTAAAAATTCATGTTACACATGATTGTCTTTTATCGTTGTTGCCATGAGTCAAACATTAATCGTTCTTTAGTGTCATTGCCATGAGTCTAACTTGAATATTACTACGTATTATCTTTTACACTTCTTATTGATCAATTAACAAAATCTCTGAAATAGATAAATTACTCCGTATATATTAGGATTGATATTTCAAAATAAAAAAAAAGATATTATGATTGAAGAAGAAGAGGGAGATAGTGAGTGAGCTTTGGGTGAGAGTCTAACGGATAAGGATTTGGGCTAATAATAAACGGATATTTATGATCTGTTGCTGTACTGGGAACCCAATATTGTGTGTGTCTGGACCCAGTAAAGTATACCTGCAGCCCAGTGAATATTGAGCATTTATTATCATGATGGCCCATTATAAAACACACTGGCCCGTTTATATTTAGGAGTAATTTAGTTCTTATACAAAAAAATAATTTTTCTTTGACAATTCTATCAACTCTCATTTTATAATAAATCTCCGATGACTGTTTGAGTCAAACTTCATCAAATTTAAATGTTAGTCATTTATAGATTATATGAGAAAAACTTTTCAATTATGGAGTAAGGAAAATTTACTTTGTATGAAGTTTTTTTTTGAGAGGTTGTATATATGGTCATATACCTGGCAAAACTGGCCCGGACCCGATAACCCGAACTGAATAACCTGAAACCGAACCCGAATTGACCCGAAAACTAAAGAACCGAAATAGAAGCAAACACCCGAAATGATCCGAACCGAACCGAAAACCAAACCGAATGTATTCAGACTCGATTCAGATCCGAACCCGACTTATCCCGAACCGATTAAACCCGAAACTGATTAAACTCGAAACCGATTAGACCCGAAATGGATCAAATTTATTAATATTTCATTTATCAAATGAACTTGGAGAAAAAGAATTACCAATACATTTTTACATATGTTGATGTGTTTCTAAAAAATATATTTAAATGAAATAATATAAACTTTAACCGATACAAACCCGAATCCATATAAACCCGAACCGATGCAAACCCGATACAAACCCGAACCAATATAAACCCGAAGTGATACAAATTAAACCCGAACCGGAACCGAAACCGAACCCAAAACTAGTCAAACCAGAATAAACCCGGAACCGAACTGACCCGAACTGAAACGACCCGAACCGATTATAACATATATCTGAAAGAGATCCGAACCAAAAAGACCTGAACCGGAACCGAACCGATTGACTCGATTGCCAGGTCTATATATGGAGTATATTCATAAACATTGCAATGTATAAAAAATTCAATGAGATTTCATCCATTTTGAATGAGAAAATCTTACCATCAATCTTTATGGATAAGCTTCACAATTAATTTAGAACGAATGGAGTACACATAACCTTTGTGATCTACACCGTATTAAGGCTCTTTTGAAAATAACTTCAAAATTTGCGTTGAGTTATGAATAAACTTTAATGCTGAAAAATAATGTTTAAAATTTACAAAAAAATATTCTATACAAATTCTGAGTTCATAATTCAAAGTTTATAACTAAAATCTAAATTTTATTAACGTCAAGCAGTTTTTAACGTAACCGGGTAAAGAAATTAGAGAGATTTTTAGACGATATAAATTATAAAAATAATTTAATAATAATTGTAGTTATATATGAAAAATGTTATATACCCTTAGAATCATTTGTGAAATTTTACTTTTACGAAGTGTCAATTTGTTTTTAAAAAACTAATTATTTTGAGTATTAAAAAAATGAGCAA